TTCTTTAGTATGGTAACTAATTGTTTGTGCTGGTATCCGACATAACAACCTTGTGGTTTTCATACACTAAACATCATATACTGAACATATGCTGATCTGTGCTGTGGGTCTCCTCAGATTGGAGCATTTCCAAGTTGGGGATGCTAAGCCCTGGGGCCTTCAGAGACATCACAGTGCTGTTACTGAGAAGTCAGATGTGAAGAATGACCCTAAATTTTACTAGCAGAGTTATCATTTTTAGACTAAAATCTTCTTGGATTTGACCATTCTATACAGAGGTGGCCTTTCCAAAGCTTCTAGATTCTCCGATCTTGCCAGGCTGAGTTCAGGATTTGGGGGCAGATATGCTGCAGAAGCCATAAAGTTTTGTTGTGAGTTATTTGATTCCTAGCCTGAGTGTCAGAACCAGGGACAGCTCCTGTTGCCTTCGCAGCCCCTCCCCCGGCCGGGGCTAGGGGTTATGGGTGGGGGCGGGGATCTCTCACTGCTTTGCTTATGTCCTTACGTTAAAGCGTCAGTAATACTGATGGTTCCAACGGTGTGCGTTGATTCTGACCTTTGCACCTTCTGCTAACACCTTTCTATTATTCTCTCCTTTGACTGGTTAATTTCTGCTCATTTCTCCCATGCCTCTAAGAAACGTACCCTGATTATCCTAGACTGGATTAGACTCATCTCCTTACAGTCCTTACCACACACCCATGTGTTTCTGTCATTATACCGTAGGCTTCATTGAAATTACCATCTGTGTTGTTTTTCCGAATTGTAGAGTTAGCTCAAATCTGTCCTTGTATCTTTGTTCGTCTGTATCTTTATTCATCTGGAGTATAAAGATCTGGGGGGTGTGGGGAGGCTGATGCTTAAGCCTGCTGGCAGTACCAAGCCAGTCAGTCATTACTGCGTTTAGTTTGTGTTTGCACTGAGGAACTTGGTCTCTCTCCTTTACTCAGTTTTGTTGTTTTTGCTTGTTTGTTTGTTTGTTTGATTTTGGTTTTGGTTTTTCGAGACAGGGTTTCTCTGTGCAGCCCTGGCTGTCTTGGAACTCACTCTGTAGACCAGGCTGGCCTCAAACTCAGAAATCTGCCTGCCTCTGCCTCCCAAGTGCTGGGATTAAAGGCGTGAGCCACCACCGCCCGGCTATTCCCTCCATTTCTTTCCCTGACCCTCTCCCTCTTTTCCCCTCCCCCAGGAGTCTCACACTGTATTGTCCAGGATAGTAGCAAACTCTTAAGCTCAACAGATTCTCATCCCCTCAGCCTCATGAGTGCTGAGAGTATGGGCATATACCACTGAGCCTGTATTCTACAGTGTTTTTAATGCTTAGAGGAGGAGAGCACAGATGGAGATACAGTTTTTGTTTTCTTTGTTTCTTTTTTTTTCTTGTCTTTTTCTTTTGTCATTCTTCCTGTTTCAGTTCTAAGAAGTTGTGAGAGGAAAGGTGAGTAGGCTGATACTCACAGATGGTAGGCCCTCTGTGTGTGAGCAATGGACAGAAATGCAAGGGCTGAATAGGGAAAAGAGTGAGCCAGTAGATTTCCAGGGATGTATATTAAGAGTTACTGAGTGGCCAGCAAGATGGTCCAGGGTGGCAAAATCACTCATCACTGAGCTTCATGACCTGAGATTGGTAACTGTGACCTAGATTGTCCTCTGACTTCCACATATGTGCTATGGTGTGAACACGCACAAAACAAAATATAATTCAATAATTAAAAACCAGAGGCCCTGAGTTTGTCAGCCTGAAAAACAAAATACTACCTGAATTTCCTTTTACCCCTTTTCTTAGCTGAGAGTAGTACTCCTAATGATGGGGGGCAGTTTGCAGAAAAACTCTGACAGCTGGGCCAGGGTGTGACGCCACTGTATACTTTGGAGATCAGTCAAAGGACTGACCAGTTCCTCTCCTTAAAATAAACATAAGGCTGAGTCTTAACAGAAGGAGACTCAGAGGAGACTCAGACTCTTAGGGAATGCTGTCTTTTCCACTCACTTAACCTAGGCAAAGCTCCTAACCCAGGAAAAGGTCTTGCTATTTCTTTCTTTTTTTCTTTTTCTTTTTTTTTTTTTTTTTTTTTTTTGTTTGTTTTTTTCGGGACAGGGTTTCTCTGTGTAGCCCTGGCTGTCCTGGAACTCACTCTGTAGATCAGGCTGGCCTCGAACTCAGAAATCTGCCTGCCTCTGCCTCCCAAGTGCTAGGATTAAAGGTGTGCACCACCACCGCCTGGCTTAAACCCAATGTCTTAGTCAGGGTTTCTATTCCTGCACAAACATCATGACCAAAAAGCAAGTTGAGGAGGAAAGGGTTTGTTTAGCTTACACTCCCAAATTGCTGTTCATCACCAAAGAAGGTCAGGACTGGAACTTAAGCAGGTCAGGATACAGGAGCTGATGCAGAGGCCATGGAGGGATGTTTTTTACTGGTTTGCTTCCCTTGCCTTGCTCAGCTTGCTTTGTTATAGAAAGCAAGACTACCAGCCAAGGGATGGCACCACTCACAATGGGCCCTCCCCTCTTGATCACTAATTGAGAAAATGCTTCACAGCTGGATCTCACAGAGGCATTGTCTCAACTGAAGCTCCTTTCTCTGTGATAACTCCAGCTTGTGTCAAGTTGACACAAAACCAGCCACTACAACCAAATTTACTAATTATCATAGGCATACATTTGCTTAACAGTAAATGAGGCAGAAATGTATCTGATATGATCCATCTTTTAGGAACTTACTGTATGGGAAGCAGATAGTGACTGATAGCAACTGTTCCTGTGCTCCCATCCCTTTGGGCTCTGTTCTAAAGTCATATTAATTCTTTTAATGTTCACAACAGCCAGTGATCTAACTACTATAGCACCACCATGTTACACAAGAGAAAAAATCAGAAACAGAAAAGCAAAATAGTTTGTCTAATGTTATGTAGTGAATGGCAGAGTAAGGATTGAAACCAAGACAAGCCAGCTCTAGAGCTTTCTTCTTAATCCTGGAGAGCACTAGTCCTTAGTGTGGTATCCAGCTTAGCCACATCTGTATCATCTGAAAAGTTATTATACACACACACACACACACACACTCACACTCATACAGTTTGTTTGAGACAGGGTCTCACTATACAGTCCTGGCTGTCCCAACACTCACACTAAGTAGACCAGACTGGCCTTGAACTCACAGAGATCTGTCTGCCTCTGCCTCCCCAGTGCTGGGTTAAAGGGATGTGCCACCCTACCCACCTGAAACACATATCCTTTTATTCAGCATAAGGTCTATGACTCACTCTGAAAGCAGGGCTCAGTAGTCAGTGTTTTAACAAGCCCTCCCCCCCAGGTAATTGTGATGGTTGCTCTTTAAGAAACTCTGCTGAAGGGAAGCTAGGCATGCTAAAAGAGTGTCATAAGTTCATCTCACTAGTAAGGTGTGAGCATCATCCATCTCCTACATTTCTAGTCCTTTGTATAGCATCTGATGTAAGGTGGACATTGAAAATACATAGGAGCTGGCTGTGGTGGCAGGCAGCTTTCATCCTAGCACTTGGGAGGCAGAAGAAACTGGATACTGTGATGTGAAGGTCTGCCTAACAAGTCTGAGGCCAGCCAAGAACACATAGTGAGACCCTGTCTCAAAAAAAAAATGTGTGTGTGTATGTGTGTATGTGTGTGTGTGTGATGTTTGAGTTGAGTCTCACTATACTTACCCTGTCAGTGCATCAGACCAAATGGGAAGGTTATATGAGACTATCAAGGAAGTAGCTGTGGGGTTTCTGACAAGGTACGAAGAGGGTACCACCCTCCACAGGAACTATGAGAATGACAGGGAATGATTTTGAGAGTGCTTCACAAGGTAAGCATGTCAAGACACAGTTAAATATGGGAAATGGACAAAGGAAGACAGGAACCGATATTTTTGGCATGGAGATGCAGTTCATTGAGACAGGACAAATATATGTATTTTGTAGGGGAAAAGAAAGGGTTAGGTTTGCTCTTAAACTTTTGAAGTGTTAGAGCCAGCTGGAGCTGTCCAGCAGACAATACGAAGCTGCAACATGGTTACATATAGATATTTGGGCTTTAAGAGCAGATGGAGCCGTGAAGAGTAAAGAGGAAAGTAGAATATAAAATTCAGGTTAGAACTACAGTGAACAAAACAAGAGAAGCCACTAAATAAAACTGAACAGGGCAGACATTAGGAGAATAAAGAAAATGTGAAAGGCAAGGAAAGCCTTTTTTAAAAAAAAAAAAAAAAAGAAAGAAAAGAAGAGGCATAGTGTTAGATGCTGCAAAGAAATAATGGGAAATTAGCCTTTGGGTTTTGACACAAAACGTCATTAAGCGATTTGGTAGGAGAAAAGAAAATCAGCCGAGTTCTGCGGATGAAAAAGTGGAGGCAGGTGCTTCCTGCAGATAGAGAGCTCTGTCTCCACACTTGTGTCGAAACTGTTACACCGTCCAGAATAGGCAAGGTCTCTAACACGTTTGTGGTCTCAGCGCCCGCACGCAGCCTGAAAGGGAGGGTGGCATTAATGAGATCAGGACTAGGGACGCAGAAAGACCGACTTAGCAGAGGCAGCCAAGACTTAAGGATGAGGGTGATTGGGAGAGGTGGGAGGCAGGGCCCTTGGGTGATTGGGTGTTGGAGGGAAAGAAGGTCGGGGAATGAGGTGGGAGCCGGGCTCTGTGTTGATGGCGGGGGCTGTGGGTAGGTTTCCAGGGATCTGTTTAGGGGAAAGACAGGGCCCCAGGCTGCAGCCGGGGAAGGGGTGTCGCCCAGCCCCTCCCATCTTACGCCGCTGCGCGGTTCCGCCACTGGAGTCCTCCCGCCAGGCTGCACGGCCACTAGTGGCCGCCAGGGGCCGCTGCATGGTCCCCTCGCCCCCGCCCCTCTCCATTGGCCTTTGTTGCCGTCGAGCGCCCCGCTTGACTCGTTCCCGTCCGCCCCCTGGGCCCATCGGTCGCGCCTGCGCACTGGCAGCTACTCGAACGCTAGCAGGGGGAGCTGCTGCAGGCTCCGCGGCGGCGGCAACGGAGGCTGCGGGGGCGACAGCGCGAGCGGCCGGGCTTCGGGGGGGAACCGAGCCCGGCCCGGGAGTCCCAGCAGTGCAAGTGCGAGGTACCTAGGCCCCTCACGCTGGACTCCTCAGTCTCCCGGCCGCCTGTCCTCCGCACGGGTATATGGGATGGAAGCGGGACCCTCGGGAGCAGGTAAGGGCCCTCGGGAACGGGAGCAGTGTGTGTTCCAAAGCCTTAGGGGCTCTCGCGGGATAGAGCATGATTCCAGAGTGAGGACAGGGGCTCTCAGGGATGGGGGGCCCATTTTGAAGGGGGTTGTGTGCAGTTCCGGCTGAGAACCATGTGAAGATCTGAGACCCGGGCTGTTTGTCCTAGGAAGCAGTATACAGTCCTGAGGGTGGGAAGTAACCTGGCAGAAGGGCCTGAATGCACGGGAGTTCTTCCGTGAGGTCTGGGAAGGCCCATGGGGAGGCCCGGCAGGTGGCAGGGGGGCGGGCTCCAGGTGTCCAGGAGAGGAGGGGGGCGACACAGATGGGCCTGAAACTACCGCCTGTCGGGGGGCGGGGGCTCGGCCGTGCTGGGCCGGGCTAAGCTAATGTCTCTGGGGAGTAGGCGCCGGGGCTGGCCTCTGAGCTCCGCCCAGCTGGGCCTGCAGCGGGGTGAGGGTCAGGGGGCGGAGGGTGGGGATTTAGCCCAGGGATTTCCCCCTTAGGCTGGGGACCTGAGTGGTGGCACGGGAGCATGCGCGCGGAGGTACCATCCTGAAGGGTTGCCCTATGTGGTGGGGGCGTGGCTGTTTGAATACCCCTCCTGTGCCCCTGGGCTTAGGAGAAGGAGTGCACCGATGGGTGCAGTCTGTCAGATTCTGTTGGCAGGGTGCAAATGGAAATTGCTTTCTTCTGTTTTGGGGAGAGGGGGTGGTCTCTGACACTTGGTCCTTAAACGCCCGTCGGAGTAGCAGTTTGCCAAAGAAAGGGTCGAGGTAAACTGCCAGAGTGCTTTTTTTCTGCTACACGAGGAGAGACGGGGACCAAAGCCATGCTTTACGAGGTACTTCTCCCTGAATAGGCCTTAGGAAAGTGTCGGTCACTGAGAAGCTAGGCCCACATGGTTTTCAAGTTTCTAGTCCACTATTGAGAGATGGGAGCCTTTCATCTAAGGATTGTGTCCTTTTCCTTGAATTGACCCTTTATGTTATAGTATACTCTCTATATTTACCTGTGGCTTCCGATGCCTAGTGGGTCTTTTCCCATGTCAGGGGCATGTCATTTGACTCAAAGCTTCAAGCTTGTCTGTCTGATGGAAACAAGTTGTTAAGGCAGACACTCGTGGCACACACCTTTAATCCCAGCGCTGGGGAGGCAGAGGCAGGCAGATGAATGAATTCAAGGTCAGCCTTGTCTACAGAGCAAGTTCCAGAACAGCCAGAGCTAACCTCGTCTCAAAAAAACAAAGGAAGACCCCCCCAAAAATAAATAAAAAAATAAAAAAAAGAGGGAGAGAAAAAAAGAAACAAGATGTTGGAGGTAGGGTATTGACCCTGATAATAGCCCTAACACCTTTTCTATTTAGAGGATATATATATTTATTATATATATTAGAGGAGAAACTGAGGCAGGTCTGCCCAGAGGCAACTGGAGTTCTTAGGATAGGCTGTAGACTTAGGATACCTTTTGTGTTATAGAGCTTATAGCTTATACCCTGTGGTAGAAAAGACAATCTGAACCCAGAATCCTTTCTGTTATCTCTCTACCTCCATTTGGTGTGGGGATAGCAACAGGATTTTTGTTCACTTTCCAAAGATTTTGGGAAGCATCTTTGTTTTTCGGGCCAGTGGAATTGATCTTAAAACTCTCTCAAGTCTTCGATGCAGTGATCTGTGATGTGTACTGACTGCATTTTCCCAAACACAAATAGCCTTGTTAGGTAGAGTGTAAATCCTAGTTTTCTAGGTTGGAGACTACTATCAACAGACCCGAGGACTAGAGTAGGACCCACATCCAGACAGACTGATGAAGGCTCATTGTCCTGAATTGCTAACGATTTTATCCTGATGAATGTCTAATAGGTTCAGGTGGTGAAGAAAGGGGCTTGTTTGTGACAGGAAAGAAGCTTCTAGGTGAAGGGCTGGAGCACTGGAGTCAGCTATATCATTGAGTAAATGCTAGTGGCGTGACGGAGAGACCCCCATAACTGCTTCCTTCTGTGGCTGGACTACTGTTCTCTTGGAAGATGCTGGAGTATTGTTCTGAGAAGACTCAAAACACTTGCTCGTGTCCAGATGTGCCTTCAGTGTACTGGTGTGTTCAGGCATGTGGACTGGCATTGAGGGTAGAGGTTGCTGTCCGACTTCTCTGGCAGCAGCAGTTGCCTGGTGTCTGGAGGCCGTGACACAGAGTGCATGTTTATTAATTGACTCAGATCATTCAAATGTGAGCATATGGTTAAACTCATGTGCATATTCTGTAATTTGTGTCTATGCATGTGGGTGTTTAATGTTTGTGGACAAATATTTTTGGAGCGATTGGTCTCTTAGTCCTTTCTTGTTCACCACCTGACTCACCAAGGGTACACACCCTCTTTGGGTCTGTTGGGTTCTTTAGAAGGTGTGTGAGCCTCCTGAGTTGCTGGGTAGGAATCCTGAGCCTGGGCCTTGAGCTCTGTTACTTTTCCTTTTCAGTGCTGGTTGGGGATGGGGGGAGGGGGAGTGTCATTTTCAGGGCCCCTCCCTTCTTGCTTTTGTCTGCAGGGAAGGGCCCCGCCCCTTTCCCCCTAGGCTGGAGCTTTGTCCTCTGTGCTGGGGCCCTCATCTGCATCACAAAGTGGCCGTCTGTCCCTGTCTGGGTCTGAGGGGAAGTGTCTTCCTTTCTCAGACTAAAAGCTGGGGGCAGGGCAAGGTTGGGGAGTAGAGACTCCGTACAGCTGTGGGGCTTTCCTGGGGATAGAATTGGCAAAGAGGTAGTTGTTTCCTCCTGCCTTCTTTCCTAGTTTTGGGATGAAGTGGAGATATGTTCTCCATTTTCCCTGAATCCTGGACAGGAGAGTGCTCTCAGGCACTGGTGTACTGTCCATTTCTGGGATGGAGAGAATTCTGAGGGAAGTGTCTGTCTCTCCTCATCCCCTATAATTTCTGTTTCACCCCTGGTTCTAGAGGGATGTCTTTCTCCCAGGATTTCAACTGATTATTTAGTCTAGGCGGCAAAAGGTGAATGGAATCCTAGAACTTGGGAAAGGGAAAAATATATCCGAAAGGGGGCAAGTGTTTCTCTTGTACAGAGTTTATGATTGTTTGGGACAGTTGCAATCATGGTTGTGTGGCTGTGTACTCTTGTGGTGTCCCTATGGGTATGCTTGTTCATTTATTTCATATGAGTATACTAAGTACCAGTCTTTATGCCCACTATTAGCTTGAGCTATGGCTAACTCAAGAATGGTTCCTTTTTTGGAAACACTGAGTTGAGGATGGTGAGCAGTGTATGTGGAACGGTAAACTTTAAAGAACTAGTATGTGAGAGGGGCGTTTGTCAGTGGGCTTGTATGCAGTATCCGTTCAGCTCTTTCTGGGATAGGTGTGACTATTGGAGTTTAATTCCCTTGGAGCTGAGTTCTTTGGCCCGGACTTGCATTTTCCTCTGCAGAAAGGGGCTGGGGCTGATTTGACAGGTGGTTAGAGGGAGTCAAGTCCTTCAGCTTTGGAAAGTGTGCACCTCCCACAAATGGTGCTCTTTCTGAGCCCCTGCCTAAGATGTGCTCCTTACCCTCCCACCCCTGTCCCATCCCCCACTCCTTTCTATGAAAGCAGAGCTCTGGTAAAGGGAGGTTCTGGGTTTATCCCTCTTCCACCTGGGCTGGTCCTCTGCAGGCAAGAACAATAGTAGCTGAGGACAAAGGCTCCATTTAGTCAACACACATGCACACACACACACACACACACACACAGAGAGAGAGAGAGAGAGAGAGAGAGAGAGAGAGAGAGAGAGAGAGAGAGAGAGAGAGAGAGAGAGAACATGCCAGGAAATAAGACTGTTCATGCTGGCCTATCCTAGCCCTTCCCAAGGGCCCCTTCTGTTCTGAAATCGATCTTTTCTGCTGTCTGGACCCTATGTGTGGAAAGATTTGTAAAGAATGGAAAGTGCTTTATATTCCCCTTCTGACCTGGTGTCACCCCTCTTACTGCTCTTCCTCCTTCCAGAGCCTCCAGCTTTATTCCTTGTGAGCTTTTTTCTTCTGTTTCTTCATTCTGCATCTTGATATAGTTTTTTCCCTATACCCCAACCCGACTTACCTCGCCTTACCTGCACCCTTCTCTCCCTTTTCTGACTATTTTCTCTTGTGTCCTCCAGATCTGACCTTCTCTCTCACCCTGGCAGCCTTTTTTCCTTTTTTCTTTAAGTCTCTCTAGAACCAGCCATTCTATGTCTTAATCCTCTCTCAGGCACTGGCCTTGCCCTTCCCAGCCTGGCTTTCTTGGAGGTCGTTCTCCTGTCCATATTAACAGGATGTAATCAGAAAGTTCTGGTGCCATTTTGTGTTCTGGATAGTAATGAGTGAACTGAGCTTCTCATAGCACAGAATAGAACGTTCTTAATCTGCCAGATACCCAGTAGAGACAGGTCTCAATCTAGTATAAAAGGAAGAAAGGGTTTTGTAAACTAGGAAGCAGACTTAGCTCCTTTTCTTGAAGTGATAGGAACTCATTACACATTTACTGATGAAGTTTTAGATACACATTTTCCTACCTCAAGAAAAGTTTAAAACAAAAATAAAAGTGAAATATGCCATCAGAAAAAAACCAGTGAGCCTGGGAATGTCTGAGCTATGGAAGTCCCCTGCTGGGTTAGGAAACAGGAAAGAGACCCGAGGTCTTGGTCTGAGAGGCCTTGCTGATCACAGACTCTGTCCTCACTGGCTTCTTTGTCTTCACAGCTGCAGGCGCCTACCTGCCTCCCCTGCAGCAGGTGTTCCAGGCACCTCGCCGGCCTGGCATTGGCACTGTGGGCAAGCCAATCAAACTTCTGGCCAATTACTTTGAGGTGGACATTCCTAAGATTGACGTTTACCATTACGAGGTGGACATCAAGCCGGATAAGTGTCCTCGCAGGGTCAACCGGTAAGCGATGCCCCTGGGTGGCACTGAGTCCAATTTATTTATTTATTTAATTATTTATTTAATTATTTATTTATTTATTTATTTATTTTTGGTTTTTCGAGACAGGGTTTCTCTTATAACCCGGGCTGTCCTGCCTCTGCCTCCCAAGTGCTGGGATTAAAGGCGTGCGCCACCACCGCCCGGCCCTGAGTCCAATTTATTTAACAAGGAAAGAGGAAGCATGCCAGCTAGAGAACACTGTAAGAACAGAGTATAGCACTGAGCATGTTCTAGCATTTGCTGAGACGGATGAGTACAGAGACTTTAAGAATGAGACTTAGTGGGGCTGGAGAGATGGCTCAGCGGTTAAGAGCACTGACTGCTCTTCCAGAGGTCCTGAGTTCAAATCCCAGCAACCACATGGTGGCTCACAACCATCTGTAATGAGATCTGATGCCCTCTTCTGGTGTGTCTGAAGACAGCTACAGTGTATTCATATATAATAAATAAATCTTAAAAAAAAAAAGAAGAAGAAGAAGCAGACTATCAAATTCATAATTAAAATCTAGGCATTAGCAGTGAAAAATTATTGTTCTCAACATTTTTCAACAGTCTTGAGTGTATTTTCAGATGTTTTTCTGCACATGCATACATTAATATATATACATTAATATATGTATGAATATATAATACATTCTATGATAATATATCATCACCAATTAATTACTTATTAATTATATTATTGATGAGCATATATGATATATTATTACATGTTGTATATGTGATACACAAACATATGTGTGTATACATATACACATTGATTTTGTACAAGTATTACATATAATACAATAAATGTGCATTAATGTTATATATACATATGTGTCTTAGTCAGGCCTTCTAGTCCTGCACAAACATATCATGACCAAGAAGCAAGTTGGGGAGGAAAGGGTTTATTCAGCTTACTCTTCCACATTACTGTTGATCACTAAAGGAACTCAGGACAGGAACTCAAGCAGGAGCTGATGCAGAGGCCGTGGAGGGATGTTACTGGTTTGCTTCCCCTGCCTTGCTCAGCTTGCTTTCTTATAGAACCCACAACTGCCAACCCAGAGATGGCACCACCCACAATGGGCCCTCCCACCCTTGATCACTAATTGAGAAAATGCCTGACAGCTGGATCTCATGGAGGCCTTTCCTCAAGGGAGGCTCCTTTCTCTGTGATAACTCCAGCTTGTGTCAAGTTGACATACAAAACCAGCCAGTACAATATGTAATATATGAACACATATAATATTAATATACAATCCTATATACTTTGTTCAATATTGTCCATTTTTCTGTTTAGCCACATATTTTGGAAAATAGTATATACTAGTATATATATAGATCTGCCTTATTCTTTTGCATAGTGCCCTAAGTTGTCCTTGGGGTGGCCACATAACTTGCTTGATCTATTGTGGAATATTTAGGTTGAGTCTAAACTTTGCAACAAGATTGAAACTGTTAAGTATTCTATAGAGATACATATTTTCATCAATGTGAGTGTATCTGTAAGATAGAAGTCCTAGTAGTGGAGTCTCTGGTACAAGGCAGTTTAAATTGAGACATTATTGATTTCTAGAGGCAGTGTCAGAAGAACTCAGGAGTGGGATTGAGAGAAAGATGATAATGGTGACAGAACTGTGGTAAAATTTGAGAGAGCTGGAGAGAGGAATCATTCTACACTTCATTTTATTATTTCTAGGCTAGATCAGATCATTTCCTTTTTTTTTTTTTTCTTTTCTTTTTGTTTTTGCTTGACAGAATGGGAATTAGAGGGTATGGAAGGTTCAGGTTAGACTTTCGAACAGGCCCTTCCCCCTCAGAAGGTCTGTGTGGGTCTTGGTGATCTGAGGACCAACAGCATCACTCTAGAATGTCAGAAGTGTGGGTTTTAAGCTACACTGTAGACTACAGACCAGAAGATGACTTTAATGAACCCTGGCGATTCATAGAGAAACGTTGAAGCTTGAGGCATACTGCCGCGGAGTAGACGTTAGAAGTGAGCCTAGTACATGGGACATTGCCTCAATTTTGAACCGTTTTCAAAAGCCTCAAGTGATATTCTCAAGCTTCCACATGCCACGTCTGTCTTTTACAGGGAGGTGGTGGAATACATGGTCCAGCATTTCAAACCACAGATCTTCGGGGATCGCAAGCCTGTGTATGATGGCAAGAAGAACATTTACACTGTCACAGCACTGCCCATTGGCAACGAGAGGGTAAGACCAGGGATGAGGCTAGGCCTGTGAGCCCAGAGAGGCCCGCCTGGAGTCTGGGGGTCCAGAGATCCTTCTTTTCTTTTGTGCTGAAAAGTATATTTTAGAGTATGATGAATCAGGGTAGATGCTTTGTGTACTGTGTGCCTGTTCCCAAACAGTGACATTAGATTAGACTTAAAAAAAAAAAAAAAGACCCAAAGGATTTCCTTCTAGATTGAGAAGGCAAAGGCACGAAGGCATCATCTGTGAAAATCAGGTGGGGTCTAGTGTGAGCCCCTGGTAGCTTAGTTTTGGCAGATTGTGGAGTGGGAGACAGTGAGTAGGACAGGAAGGTTAGTCTGTGAGGATGTGACAGTAATCCTTTCCCTCTTCCTATCTTGAAGGTTGACTTTGAGGTGACCATCCCCGGGGAAGGGAAAGATAGAATTTTTAAGGTCTCTATCAAGTGGCTAGCCATTGTGAGCTGGCGCATGCTACACGAAGCCTTGGTCAGCGGCCAGATCCCTGTGCCCCTGGAGTCTGTGCAAGCCCTGGATGTGGCCATGAGGCACCTGGCATCTATGAGGTACTGAGTATAGTTATTATCTAAGCTACAAGTGTTGGTAAAACTGATGCTGGGGGAGGGGAGAGTGAGTATGTATTAAGGTCCCTCAGTGTGTCATTGAGGAAAAAAGAACTGAAGGCCGACCATGCATGTGTCAGGCAAGTACATACATATACACACGTTTAGATGGTTAGATTCTGGCCCTATCCTTGGATACCATTTTGGCCTCACTCCATCTATCCCTACAGGGCAGCGAGAAAGGTAGAAACTTGTACAAGGTCAGTCTTACAGTTGGCCCAAGAACAGAGCTGGCATTAAAGCCCTGGTGTCCTGCCTTCCAGGCCAGGGCTCCTCCGTGCCCAGGATGCCTCACAGGGTGGGGGCCTGTGCCCGAGGGACCAGTTCTCTGCCTGTCCCTGCCAGGTACACCCCTGTGGGCCGCTCCTTCTTCTCACCGCCTGAGGGCTACTACCACCCGCTGGGGGGTGGGCGCGAGGTCTGGTTCGGCTTTCACCAGTCTGTGCGCCCTGCCATGTGGAAGATGATGCTCAACATTGATGGTAAGTGGGGAGAGCCATGGAGCCAGGGGCACCCCGAATCCAGTGACACGCTCCCAGCCTCATCCCTCCCAGCTCTGCAACCATACTCCTTGTCTAATTCCTGTAGCCCTGGCACGCCCTGTCCCTATCCTGGTGCCCTACAAAGAAGAGAGTATAAATTGTAATGCCTTCATTTATTTTTTTCTGAAAGACTCTGAGCCAAGTTATCCCTCCCCTGTCCCTACAGTCTCAGCCACTGCCTTCTACAAAGCACAGCCAGTGATTGAGTTCATGTGTGAGGTCCTGGACATCAGGAACATAGATGAACAGCCCAAGCCCCTCACGGATTCCCAGCGTGTACGGTTTACCAAGGAGATAAAAGGTGAGGACCCACCCAAATGGGGAAGGGAAAGCGCTGCTTTCTCTAACCCTAAGAAGAAATTCCTCTGGGAAAGGCCAGTGAGGGAACATGAGCAATCTGTTTCAACCTTAACAAGTAGTGTGTGTATCTCAGGCCTGAAGGTGGAAGTGACCCACTGTGGACAGATGAAGAGGAAATACCGTGTGTGTAATGTTACCCGACGCCCTGCTAGCCATCAGACGTAAGTTGGCAGCATTGCTAAGCATGGTCAAGATGGCTAAGTTCTCTAACCCTCTCCCTTCTGTGTTGTCAGAATAAGACTTTTCTAGTCTGTTCTTGAAGATAAGCATTTTCTTCCCGACCTCCCGAGGTTGTTTGATTCTCTCATGACTTTTCCCTTCTTAATCTCTTGGTTTCTTCCTTGGACCCTCACTATAAAACATGAGTGGTTCACCGATTACTGTTGGGTCTGTACATATAAAATATTGCGTTCCCCTTTCTTGATTCCAGGCTATACTGGACTCTTCTTAGTAGCTATCCTACTCAGGCTTTAGAAATACAGATGAGTGAGATTGTTGGCCTTTTTGGACTATCTCCATCTTTGGGTTTTTCAGTGAAGCCATGTAGTGTTCACTTTCCCATGAGCGCCAACCAAAGAGGATGAATCCAGGCCTGAGGCCGTCTTTGTTGTGGCTGTAGAGAGGTGGGGTTTATGCTGAATTATGATACTTCCTTTCCCTTCCTTGAAACAGGTTTCCCTTGCAGCTGGAGAGTGGACAGACTGTGGAGTGCACCGTGGCACAGTATTTCAAGCAGAAATATAACCTTCAGCTCAAGTATCCCCACCTGCCCTGCCTACAAGTTGGGCAAGAACAGAAGCATACCTATTTGCCCCTCGAGGTAAGGCTGCCAGAGAGTGGCTTGGCTGACACTAATCATCAGAGGTCTGTTGAGCCAGTCAGTCTCCTCTCCTCAGTTTCAAGTTTGAGAAGTTGATGTTCCAGGATGGACTAAGGTTGTCTTCATGTGAAGTATAGACTTCCTACTTGCTAAATTCTTTTCTTTTTTTTTCTTTCTTGTTTTTTTTTTTTTGTTTTGTTTTCCGAGACAGGGTTTCTCTGTGCAGCCCTGGCTGTCCTGGAACTCACTCTGTAGACCAGGCTAGCCTCGAACTCAGAAATCTGCCTGCCTCTGCCTCCCAAGTGCTGGGACTAAAGGCGTGCACCACCACTGCCTGGTGCTAATTTTTTTTCTTATTCCTGGCTTTATTTTCGTCTTTTTCTACAACTGCTAGGCAGAAGGGAAAGCTGTGTTTGTTTGGTTAGTTGTTTGTTTGTTGGTTGGTTAATTGGTTGTTTGGTTGATTGGTTGGTTGATTGAGACATGTCACCAGCTCAGGCTGGCCTTGAACTCACATTTAGCCAGGGATAAATAACGTTGAACTTTTTTTTTTTTTTTAAGATTTATTTATTTTATTTATGTGAGTACACTGTTGCTTTTGTCAGACACCAGAAGAGGGCATCTGATCCCATTACAGATGGTTGTGAGCCACCATGTGGTTGCTGGGAATTGAACTCAGGACCTCTGGAAGAGCAACCAGTGCTCTTAACCGCTGAGCCATCCCTCCAGTCCCCAACATTGAACTTCTGATCCTCTTTTCTTCTTCCAGGGCTTGAGATTCTAGGCATACACTACCACACTCATTTATGGGATATTGGGGACTGAACCAAAGGTTTTACTCATGTTAGGCAAGCCCTATGCCAACTGAGCTACATCTCCAGTCTTATTACATTTATTATTTTCCAACTGGTCAGGACAGATTTCAGATACTCACACACATGTTACCTCTTAATTTCTCTTTTCTGTTGTCTACAGTTAGGGGTAATGAGTGACCTGGAAATACAGTTATATCTTATTCTGGAGAAAACCTGTGATATAAATCCTATTGCCCCAGTGGTTAATATGCTATTTTCTGGGAAAGTTTTAAATCTCCAGATTTTCATGCCTTTGTACTTCACAGACCTTTGAAATGCAGCCATCAGCAAGAAGATAGTAATACTCTCAGGACAGAGTGGTGGTGGGGTCCTTCCTCTCTCATGGAACTTTTATAGATCAAGGGATACAAATGAGGGTGTGGGGTCAAGGGTTGCCTCTTTGAGGAGTCATTTCACCTGGAGTTCCAAATTATGGTCACTATCCTTGTAATAATAGCAGGGACAAGCTTTCCTGGCAAAAGGAGCAGCTTCTAAAGGGAGACCGGTCTGGATCTTTTTGAGGGACAGACTTGAGTGCTGTGTAGTACTCGAGGAGAGAATAAGTAATAGGTGACAGTGGTGGGTGAGGTGGAGGGTCAGATTGTATTGAATCTTGTGTGGAAGATTTAACAAAAAATTAATGGCTTTATCAAGATATAGTTGACATAATGATATGATAATGTCTAATTTAGTAGTTCTTAGTGTATTCACAGAGTTATGTAGACATCACCAGTGTTTAACTCCAGGGTGTCTTATCTCCTTCAGAAGAAAGCCTGTACTTCTTTCCCTAGTAATATGAAGCTATTTTCCAGCTCTGGTTTTGCCTGCTTATGTAAAAAAAAAAACGTGCATTTTATAAATGGCTTCCCTCCTTTCTTTTTTCCTTTTTAATTTATTTCATGTGCATAGGTATGAGGGTGTCAGATCCCATGGAACTGTAATTATAGACAGTTAAGTGTAGCCATGTGGGTTCTGGGAAGTGAACCTTGGACCTCTGGAAGAGAAACCAGTGCTCTTAACCTCTGAGCCATCTCTCCAAGCCCTTCCTTTTGGCTTCTTTTTTTTTTTTTTTTTTAAAGATTTATTTATTATGTATACAGTGTTCTGCTTGAACTTATGCCTGCAAACCAGAAGAGAACATGGGATCCCATTACAGATGGTTGTGAGCCACCATGGGGTTGCTGAGAAGTGAACTCAGGACCTCTGGAAGAGCAAACAGTGCTCTTAACCTCTGAGCCTCTTCTCCAGCCCTCCTTTTGGCTTTTTGAGACAGGATTTCTCTGTGTAACAGCTCTGGAGCTCATTTTGTAGATCAAACTGGCCTTGAGCTCACAGAACTCCACCTGCCTCTGACTCTGGAGTGGTGAGATTAAGGACAGGATCCACCAGGCCTGTCTGTGACTGGCTTCTTTCACTTAGCATAATTGTTCCCAGGTTCATCCTCATTGCTCTGAGGGTGTTGTTCCTATCTGTAGCTACATCATGTTGTGTCTTCAACATTGATGGGCATGGTTTTTTTGTTTGTTTTTATTTTGTTTTTGTTTTTCGAGACAGGGTTTCTCTGTGTAGCCCTGGCTGTCCTGGAACTCACTTTGTAGACCAGGCTAGCCTCGAACTCAGAAATCCACCTGCCTCTGCCTCCCAAGTGCTGGGACTAAAGGTGTGCGCCACCACTGCTTGGCATTGATGGGCATTTGTGTTACGCTTTTTGGCTGATAGAATAAAAATACTGCTATAAACATTCATTTCCTTGTTTTCCTGAACACAGTTTCATTTTTCTTGCTTATATGTGTAAGAGTGACATTATACAAAACTGTAACATCCTAAGCTTTCCCAGACTGGTCTCCCATTTTACAGTTTTGTCAGCAGTGAATGAGGCTTCTGGTTTCTAGTCAGGTGGATTTTACTTTAATTATACTGGGAATCCATGTTTAGGTAAGAGAGTATGGGTTATTTGAAGCTTCTCAGCTAGGAACTAAAAACAGCCAGTGCCACCAACCTAGGTCTCTGAATTTCTTGTAGTCATTCAAGCTGTGGAGAGACTCGGCAAAATCTTTCATGTTCAAGTCTATTCGTTCCTACATTAATCTTTCTTTGTAGTCAGCTGTGTATAACATGAAAGTTACCATTGTAAGCAGTGAGTGTTAGGTTCTGTGACATTAAGTGTTTTGACACTGCTGTGTGACTCCCCACTACTCCTCACCTATCTCCATAAAGTTTTCCTCATCTGGAACTGAAGCACACCCGTTAAAGCCTGACCTCCCACCTCCAGCCTTGGTGCTCTTTGTTCTGTTTTCTCCTTCTAGGAACTGACTACTTCTCTAGGTTCTCCATGCAAGTATAAGCATATCTTTATCATTTTTGATTGGCTTATTTCACTTATCGTGCTGTCCTCAAGGTTACCCGTGTTGTGATGTGTTGGGATTCTCCCCTTTTTAAGGCATAATACTTCTGTATCTGTACACCACATTTGGTCTATATTTTCTAATGCCAATGGACATGTGAAGGACAATTATGTAAATAACACTGCTCTGGACAAAGCTGTACAAACATTGTTCTCTTCTTTTGAGTACATAGCCAGAAGTAGAGTTGCCGGCTCATATGGTAATTGTATATGTGATGACACAGTACCATTTTCCACATCAGCTTCACCATTTTGTATTCCCACCAGCAGTGTGTAGAGTTCCTCTTAGTTTTCTGGCATTGCTAGTTCTGAAGCTAAGCTGTGCCATAAGCGTCGGAACAGTTCTGAGTGTGCCTGGGGATTCTTTGAAATGGGAATTTAAAAGCAGGTGACCTTGGCCTGGCTTTCCTTCCCATTGTTTACTGTGAACCCTGGGAGCTAGAACTGAAGCCACCTCATGCAGAGCACTGGCCTCACAGAACCGGCTACACGTTTTTCTTGACATCACAACATCCTCAGGCGGTGGTTTTATTTGTTTTTAATCATAGCTGAGGTGAAAGAGTTGAATCTCAAAGCAGTTAAGAGTCTAGCCCAAGCCGGGCGGTGGTGGCGCACACCTTTAATCCCAGCACTTGGGAGGCAGAGGCAGGCGGATTTCTGAGTTTGAGGCCAGCCTGGTCTACAGAGTGAGCTCCAGGCTCCAGGACAGCCAGGACTACACAGAGAAACCCTGTCTTGAAAAAAAAAAAAAAAAAGGGGGGGGTGTCTAGCCCAGAGGAACTCTGTGAGTTCAAGACCAGTCAGATCTATGGAGTGAGTTCCAGGACAGCTAGGGCTACCCAGAGAAACCATCTCTCAAAAAAACAAGCAAACAAACAAGAGTAGCCCATGGTAACATCATTTAGAATTACAAAGCTGCACTTCAAACATAAGCCTTCTGAGAGCAGTTGGCTTTCCCCTCTGTTTTAAGCTTTCCTGTCCCTGTGTCCTGATTAGAAGCCCAAAGTCCTAGTTGTCACTAGGCATTATTTTTGATCTTCATTTTGAGCGCAGGACAGGAGCCAAGTAGCAGGATGTTCATCATCATACTAACAAAGAGCACTGCCAACCAATAGAAATGGTGATTTCTGTGCCTGGAGATAGTGCTCAGTCGGTAGCTTGCTCTAGGATGCGTGAGGCCCTGAGCTCAGTCTCTGAGCATGCGCTGTATATGCCCGTCCTCCCCAACACACACAAAAGACAGAGGAAATAGTGATCCCTGTACTTTTATACCTTGGGGCTCAAGAATTTTTAGTCATCTCTGTTCCTCCCTGTTGGTGCAGATGGAGCAACTAACTTCCTGCTACCATTGGAGAGCTGCCATAGAAATCTGATTTGCTTATAGTATATTGAGATTTTGATATTCAAAGGATCTGTGTACGTAATCCTTGGGTAAATAATAATGTATGCTGTAATTTACTGAGTGCAATGGTCCAGAACTGTGCTCAGTTCTGTAAGTGTTGTGTTTAATCTCTAGACACCCTGTAGGATTGTAATTATTCTCATTTAACACATGAGACCTGATCACAGATCTACCCTGGATTCCAAACTTCTGGTCACAATGTATTTTTACATAGAGAGTTCTGTAATTCTTTTCCCATGGTTGACAGCTAAGATACTGGAGAGGTATAGGCTGTTCTCAGGCATAACTCCTCGTCTGTCTCCTTTTCTCAGGTCTGTAACATTGTGGCTGGGCAGCGGTGCATTAAGAAGCTGACTGACAACCAGACTTCAACCATGATAAAAGCTACAGCTAGGTCGGCCCCAGACAGACAGGAAGAGATCAGTCGCCTGGTCAGTGGGACTGCTGAACAGTGCATGCTGTTCACTGAACAGCCCTGGGGCTCTTGGTAGCATAGATGCTTTAGTGGTCAGTCCAGCAAGACCTTCCTTGAGAAAAACCCAAGTCTGGTTTTATTGTCTGGGACTTTGCAGGGCTCTTCTCCCCCTTCCCCCGGTTAAAGATAGATTTATTTATTTATTTATTTATTTATTTATTTATTTAATGTATGTGAGTACACTGTCTCTGTCTTCAGACGCACCAGAAGAGGGCATCAGATCCCATTACAGATGGTTGTGAGCCACCATGTGGTTGCTGGGATTTGAACTCAGGACCTCTGGAAGAGCAGTCAGTGCTCTTAACCACTGAGCCATCTCTCCAGCCCCCCTGTTCTTGCTCTTGAGCCTTTAGCCACTTCTTTCTCTCTTTCCCTCCTTTATAACAACTCCCATTTCCATTTCCTCTCCCTTCACCCTCTAGTTCTCCCACCCCCTTTTTAGTGCTCTTTTTTGTCAGCCTCAGCTTCTCTTCTGGGCTCTCTCCTTGGGACCTAGAACAGGAGCAGTACTGCCAAGCTGCCTGTCTCCTGAGACCGCCTTCTCTTGCCCTGCAGATGAAGAATGCCAGCTACAACTTGGATCCCTACATCCAGGAATTTGGAATCAAAGTGAAGGATGACATGACGGAGGTGACAGGGCGAGTGCTGCCGGCGCCCATCTTGCAGTATGGCGGCCGGGTGAGCAGGGTCAGGGCCAGACAAAGTCTCTGGGGCATTTGGGGGTAGTTGGGCTGCATAGCTCAGGGGCTTTTGTTCCCTCCTCACATGGCTCTACTGAGGCTCACCTGGACGCCCCCTCTGCCTATCCCTAGAACCGGGCCATTGCTACACCCAACCAAGGTGTCTGGGACATGCGTGGGAAACAGTTCTACAATGGGATTGAGATCAAAGTCTGGGCCATCGCCTGCTTCGCACCCCAAAAACAATGTCGAGAAGAGGTGCTCAAGTAAGGATGGTAGAGGGTTGGGTTTGGGGTTGGGTGAGTGGGAAGGATCCCAGAGCTGTCGATCCACAACCTCTAGGTACCAGGACTGACCTGCAATCTGCCTTTTCTCTTTTAACTGTGTCCACATTATTGCTTCTGACTCATGTGTCTGCTTACTCTTTTCTGTCCGTATGTGGTCAGATGAGTTCAGGAGCCTTAGGTATTTCAGAGATGAATTTTAGGGAATGACTCTCCTAAGGCAGGCCTGAGTCATTTTATTGTTCTAATTATCATAATTGGTAATAAATATTGGTAATGACTATAATATTTATGCTGACATTACACTTAAGTGACTAATGTACTTTCTTTCATCTTGATAGTGAGTAGGTGGTGTTTTAGTTGCTTTTCTATAGCTGTAATAAAACACCACAACCAAGCCAACTAATAAAATAAAAGGTTTATTGGGCTTTAGCGTTCCAGATGGTGAGTCCATGACCATCATGACAGCAGTGTGGCAGAAGGTAGGCAGGCGTGAAGCAGTAGCTGCGAGCTTGGTCTGGTCCACAGGCATGAAACAGAGAGACACTGAGAATGCAGTGGTGGTCTCTAGAAACCTCAGAGCCTACCTCCTCCAGACACACCCTCGTCCATCAAGTCTACCCCTTCTATTCCTTCCCAAATAGCGTAACCAGCTGGAGACCAGGCATTCAAATCTATGAGCCTATGGGGCCATTCTCGTTCAAACCACCACATATGTGGTCATGCTTTGGGAGACTGAGGCTGAAAGAGGTTAGTTAGATAACTTGTCCAAAGTGTACAGATCAAGAAAGGTTCAAGCCGGGCGGTAGTGGCGCACGCCTTTAATCCCAGCACGCACTTGGGAGGCAGAGGCAGGCGGATTTTTGAGGCCAGCCTGGTCTTACAAAATGAGTTCCAGGACAGCCAGGACTACACAGAGAAACCCTGTCTCAACACCACCCCCCCCCCAAAAAAAAAAAAGAAAGGTTCAGAGGTAAGATCCAATCAGATCTGAGCTTTAAAACTTCTAATGTGAGAGAGAGGGAGAGGGAGAAGGGAGAGGGAGGGAGGGAGGGAGGGAGGGAGGGAGGGAGAGAGAGAGAGAGAGAGAGAGAGAGAGAGAGAGAGAGAGAGAGTTAGGAGAGTTAGTTTCTATAAAGCACCAGCAGCTAGTCCTTTGAGCTGTGGTCAGCAGCATAATTAAATCAGATCCAGGTAATCTGAGTGACGCTGTAAGTGCACATGAACTCAGGGGCCACTCATCATCAGTGAGAGGCTGGGAGTAGGTGGCAGCAGGGAAGCAAAAGATACTGCCAAGTAGCTTAATGAAACAGAGTAAAGAAGTAACAGCCTGAATGAGTAAATAAATAAATAGAAAAGTCACTTGACACTTTTCCTATAGTCATAATTCTTTTAAAGTTTTATTGATTTATCTTAAAACACCAAAAAGTGCACACACATAAAAGATGATATGGTTCAGTTTCTGCTATCTTTTTAAATGGGGGTTCTGTGGATACGATCATTATTATATTCTATATTATATTCTGTAATGAGAAAGTTAGTGGAGCTGACTGGTTTGGTTTTGACAAAGGTAATGGAGATTTGTGCCTTTGATGTCTTTATAAGAATCACTTTGGGCTTGAGAGATGGCTCAGCAGTTAAGAGCACTGACTGCTCTTCCAGAGGTCCTGAGTTTAAATCCCATCTGTAATGAGATCCGATGCCCTCTTCTGGGGTATCTGAAGACAGCGACAGTGTACTTACATATAATAAATAAATAAATGAACCTCTGGGCCCTAATGAGCAGGGGTGGAGTGAGTTGGATCGAGGCCCTCCAGGCACGCATTCTCCTGTTTCTTACACAGGCATGTAGCCACCACCATCATAGCTGTAATTTCTTGTTTCCTTGTTTGTCCTTTAGTCTCCTTTCCTGGACTCTTTAGATGCAGGTTAGGCTGTTCTTGTATCTGGTCTGGCCTTGTTTGAATGGTCCCTAACAGTCCTGGAGGTGTTCTTCAGAACTCTGGAGTCCTGCACAAGCTCTTTACCCTCTCACAGCAGAGCAGTCACCTTGTTGATAGCCTGATCTTTTCTTCCTCCTTTGTCCTGCCCTGGTCTGCTTTCTGTGTCTTTTGGTGGGGGAGGAGAGGTGGGTATTGGTGTTGGTACTGTTTTTGTTTTAATAATCTATAGCTTTGGTCTTTGGGGTTTACCAGGAACTGATAAACCTGTTCTCTCAGGTTTGGAGGAATTCAATGCATCAGGCACCTTTTTTTCTTAGTGACCCCTACATATAGGGGATTAAAAAAAGGTGGCCCGTGTATCTGCAGGAGTGGTAACTAATTATAATACATGGTTTTGGATCAAAGATAAGAATTTCCGAGTTTTCAGCCATGGCATGTAGAGGAGACTTTGTAGGGACTGTGCATAGAAAGTAGAAGTTGAAAGTAGATAGAACTTAGAAAAATTGGAAAGTAAATGAAGCAAAGACTCCTAAGTATAGAGGAAGACTTAGGACTCAGAGCATAGAGAAAAGCCTCCTTTTCACAAAGAACATAGAGGGAAACGGAGGCTACTGTGGGGATGGAAAAATTAGTCGGCGATAGATGAACAAATTCAATCCTATTAATTTTTTGTCTGTCTTTATCACTGTAGCTGTGTCTGTTAGAATATGACCTTGCACATTCTAGATATCTCAATACTTTTTGGTTCCTAGCAGCAGACATTAGTATCCCAGTCATAGTATGGTAGTAGAGGGAAGAGAGGAATGTCTATTTCTTGAAATAAAGACCCATTGTTAATGAAATCTGGTAAAACAAAATTTGAATGACGTTTGGTAGCTACAGTTGTATATGAAACAGAGTAAAGGGAGAAATGCCTTTAGCAGTTCATCAGAGCCCTGTCTCTCATTTATAGGAGGCAGCAGTTAGCTTGTAGTGAGTATTTAGTCAATCATTTGTTTCTTTTTATTTAATTTTTGAGTGAGAGTATTGATACAGTATTGTTGGGATGGAGTGTCAACTTGTACCTCTCAGGCCAGCCTTGAACTCATAGCTGTCCTGGCTCAGTCTCTCAATGCGGGGCTTATGAGTGCATGCATGCCTTGTGACCTGCAGGTTCTAGTTTTTGTTTTGTTTGTTTTTTTTTTGTTGTTGTTGTTTTGTTTTTCGAGACAGAGTTTCTCTGTGTAGCCCTGGGTGTCCTGGAACTCACTCTGTAGACCAGGCTGGCCTCAAACTCAGAAATCCACCTGCCTCTGCCTCCCAAGTGCTGGGATTAAAGGCATGTGCCGCCACCGCCCAGCTAACAAATAATTTTTAAAAGTGTAGCTAGACTGACATGATGCCTCATATCTATAACCTCAGCACTCAAAATGCAGAAATTGCCTCCTCTTTCAGGCCATCTGGGGCTGTATACAGTGAATTCTAGGCCAGCCAGGCCTACATAGTGTCTCTAAAAACCAAAATAATAGTCTTAGGGTTTCTGTTGCTGTGATATAACATGAAGACCCCACAAACAACTAGGGAAGGAAAAGGTTTATTTTCCTTGCAGTCTATCACTGAGGGAAGTCAGGGTAGGAATTCAAGTCAGGAACCTGGAGGCAGGAACTAAAGTAGAAATCTTGGGAGAGTGTAGCTTACTGGCTTGTTCAAACTGTTTTCTTATGCACCAGAGTTTCACACTGCCCAAGGGTAGCACCACCCGCTTAGACTGGGCCCTCCACATTGACCACTAATTTAAAGAAAAGCCTTGTAGGCTTTCTGCAGATGAATATTAAGGAGGCATTTTCTCAGTTGAGCATCCCTTCTCTTAAATGGCTCTAACTTTTTGTTAAGCTCATGAAAAGTTAGCAATAATAATAATAGCCGGGCGGTGGTGGCGCACGCCTCTAATCCCAGCACTAGGGAGGCAGAGGCAGGCGGATTTCTGAGTTCGAGGCCAGCCTGGTCTACAGAGTGAGTTCCAGGACAGCCAGGGCTACACAGAGAAACCCTGTCTCAAAAAACCAAAAAATAAAATAAAATAATAATAATAATAATAATAATAAATATATATAAAGTTTTAGCTGGGCACTTTTAATCCCAGCATGCAGGAAGCAAAGACAGAGGATGTCTATGAGTTCAAGTCAGTCCAGTCTACAAAGCAAGTTCTAGGATAGCCAGGACTGGTATACAGGTTGTTTTGTTTGTCTCAAACAAACAAATAAAAAGTTTGACATTATTTGATTTGCTGCATTCTACTTCTGTTCTCTTCTGGTGTGGTGGCTAGCATGAGTTGTAATCTTTTTATCTAGTTTTTTATCGATGTATATAAGATTGTAAATTTGTATAAAATTTACTGTATCCTATTTTTTAAATATGTATACCTATTTTTAAATATGTGAAAAATACTTCCTGCACTGTCATTGATATGTATGTAGTATATATTTTTGAGACATTCCTTTCTATTCTTTTTGCACATTACCGCTCTTACCAGTTAGGTTTATCAGCACTGACCGTGATTACTTTAAGTAAACCACTGTTGAGTGCTTTCACTTTAAGTAATAAGATTTCTACAAATTAAATTGCTGCCATCCATTTTTGTGTATTTACGATAGCTTGATTATTTTTACTGTATTATATCCCTCTTTACATTGTGTTGCTTTTCTCAGGATAAAACCTAAAGTCAGAGAAAAACATGCTTAATAATTGGCTCTTTTCCTTGTGAGCCAGTGAGGAAGGTACAGTTGGACTTTTCCCTGAGCACCTCTGCTTTCACCACTAATAGACCCTCACTTACTTTGAGCACAAAACCCATGCACTTATGCACCTGTCTGTTTTTTCCCTTTGGACATGTAGTATGGAGTACAGGTATCCACAGGCCTCAGCCTAGACAAGGGGCGTGTTGTGTCTAGGCTCTGTTCACTGAGAATTCCCACAAGCCCCTTGTTTAGACTCTTCAGTTCCCTTGGTGTTCATTCTCTTTAGTTGAGCAAACTTTGTCTTGTTTTGACTCTACTATAAATGTACCTTTTACATCAGCTGTGGTTGGGTCCTTCATGGTAGAATCTCCCGGTGCTGAACAGTCAAGGTGGAGGCATTAAGTTCATCAGATACAGTGGAATTTATTATATCCTGCCATGACCATGTTTGTGCCACAGGAACTTCACAGACCAGCTTCGGAAGATTTCCAAGGATGCAGGGATGCCCATCCAGGGTCAGCCATGCTTCTGCAAATACGCACAGGGGGCAGACAGCGTGGAGCCCATGTTCCGGCATCTCAAGAACACCTACTCAGGACTGCAGCTCATTATCGTCATCCTGCCCGGGAAGACACCAGTGTATGGTACAGTTCTCCTGGGACAGTGTTAATAATGACAGGATTCAGTTCGCTGGAGCCCTCTCGGGGCCTCTAGGGTGGAGTCAGTGGAGAAATCTGGCTTTCCCCAGAGATGGTCATTAATGTCAGTGGTTTGTTCGTTTGTTGTTTATGCTCTTCAATCAGAGAAATATTCTTTGTGAGCTATTGAGTTATTCAGCTTTGCTTACCTGTTCACACGCCATCACATTTCCCAGGATACCCCGTGATAGCATCTTTCTGGCAGGTTGAGGTAGCTGGATACAGAGAAGGATCAGGCCAGATGGCGTTCATCTAGGAGTGTGTTATTTATTAGTTCAAGCTGAGGTGATTCTGCTAAGGATCGTGAACTTTTTTGCAACATTTCCCCATTTCCTGTAAGCCTCTTCCTCAGTTGTCCTCCCTCCCTGCCTGCCTCAAAGACCGTGAGGTCCTTTGCTTCCCTGCTCTGCTTTTGTTCCCAGCCAGTTCTGGTGCCTTTGAACATCCCCAGATGAACTGTCCTAAAGCCCATTGCAACCATTTTGTGTCTAAGCATTTTTTTCCTATTGTTTTTCTTTTGAAAGAGTCGTTTTCATATTCTGTATGCACACTTCCTCATTAGCCTGTCTCCCTTTGTCTTGTCTACTTTTCTCCTCCACAGCTCTCAGACTGAGCATCTGCTTCTCTTCTCTTCTCCCTTTGACTTCCAGACACATTTCTCCCCGCACTTTATGTTTGTCATTACCAGGGATGCCTGGTAGCCCAAGGTTTTCTGTCCCCTTCTGTCTGTCTTCTGTTGATATTTTTCACTCATTCTGGTGGCCTTGGCCATCACCTGTTACTCTGATATGGTGTATAGTCTGAAAATCAAGTCTCTGTCCTTTCTCCCTTCTGCAGGTGCCTTTATTATCTCTTCTAATCTCAAAAACTTTTAAAACATTTATTTACTTATTTATTTACTGTGTGTATGTGTGTGTGTGTGTGTGTGTGTGTGTGTGTACACATACATGCACTTGTGCCATAGTATGTGAGTGTCAGTTGGAAGATAACTTGAGGAAGAGGTTGTCTTATTTGATGAATGAGTTCTGGGGATAGGGCTGAGTCCTCAGGCTCTGTGAAAGCACCTTCTGCCATAGACCCTCCTAAGCTGTCACCAGTCCCTCAAGTCTTTGGTGAATAGGCTAATAAATCAGACTTTTTTAAAGCAACACAACCTCACTCATCTCATTCAGTATGAAAGGGCTTTCAGGCCTGATACTTTTTAACTTTCAGCTCTGTCTTGTACTGTTCCTGAAACAGAACCCAACCTCAGTCCTTCTTCCACCAGTCAACCACCGTGGGCAAATTGCCAGGCTCTGAGCTTCATGAGTTGATTATATAACAAGCAGCATCTAGCAGAGTCCTTGGCAGAGAGGAAAGTTTGGACACTCCTCCTGTCTGCTTTCCTCTCTGACTGTATTCTGCCCGTATTGCTTCCCCTGGGCTCAGAGGTCCAAACGCTCCTTTGCCATTCTTTCCCATGACATCCTCTACGCCTAGTGTAAGTTATACTTATTTTATATTTTGGTCATTTTCCCTAGCGGATAAATATGTCCTTTTGTTATTGTTTGTTCATTTGTTTGAGACAGGGTCTCACTATGGCCTTTTATTCAAAGATCCACTTGGCTCTGCCTCTGCTGAGATTGAAGACTTGTGCCATCATGACTGGCTTTTTTTTTTTTTTAAGATGTATTTTATTTTAAAGTATGTGTATGTGTTATGAACATGTTATTAGATATGTGTGTGTCAGAAACCAGAGTTAGATCTATTCATGCTCAAAATAAAACTGGAACTGCAGTTAGAGACTGCAGTTGTGAGCTGCCTTGCAAGGGTGCTGTAACCAAATTTAGGTATTCTGTAAGAGCAGCAGGTACTGTTAACCCCTGGATCATCTCTCCAGCCCCACTGTGACTCTTTTGAATTCCTTTAGTTTATTAGAAATTTGATCAATTGTGGCCTTGATTTTTGTTTTTGAAACAGAGTTTCTTTGTGTAGCCCTGGTTGTCTGGAACTCACTCTATAGACGAAACTCTTATCTGCCTGCCTATGCCTACCTGTTGCTGAGATTAAAGGCTCGCACTACCACCACCTGGCTGCGTGAGCATGAAGTAGATCTAACTCTGCTCTCTGACACACACATCTAAAGTAGAATTGTTCACTGATGACAATAATTTTAATAATTCCTTACAGAGGGAAGTTGGTTATAACGCATGTCCTCTTAGATGGAAGAAAAAGGTGTTTTTTTTACCTTCCCTCCTGGGGGTGTGGGTAAAAATGACACTGTCCCTATGATGTTCAAGTCAAGGTCCTGTTGGCATTGTGTTTTTTTTGGAAAACATTGGGTGTTGCTTTGACTCAGTCCTACCTACGCATGTCCTCTTTCTCGTATTTTTAGCTCCTTTTTCTTTCTCTATTAGATTGCTCTTCCAGAGGACCTGAGTTTGAGTCCCAGAACCCACATGGCAGCTTAAAACCATCTGTAACTTTAGTTCTCGGAGGTCTGACATCTCATTCTGGCCTCCCTGGGCACTAGGCATGCACATGGTATACAGAAATACATGTAGGCAAAACACTCATGAATAAAATTTAAGTTAAAAAAAATTTAAAGACTTAAAATTTCTTATAAGATTTATAGCAATAAAATTAGTAAGTTTATAGGTTTTTTTTAAAGCTAATAGTATTAATCTAATAGAGAAAAAGGGAGCTAAAAGTATTAGAAACATTGCTTTTAACTGCTCAGATATCTCTCCAGTCCTATAAATAAATCTTAAGTATTCAGCCTAATTTCCTCACAAGTATCACAGCATTGCAACAAGTGTACCTCGGAGAACATTGCTATCCCTGGGATCCCTCACTACAACCCCTCCCTCAATTGGCGACTGTAGTTCTCATCTCAGACAATATAGATTAATTTTGCCTTTGGACTTAATACAAATGGAATTATAATGAATGTGGTTTTAGATGTGTCTGGTTTCTTTTATCTAACATTCTGTTTGTAAGATTTTTCCATATTACTTATAGCTATAATTTCTTTGTGTTTGCATTGTGTGACTATAACGTGGTTTATGCTTCATTTCATTCCCTGTTGAGATTGTTTGGATTCTTCCTGGTTTCTAGCTGTTATGGATAATGCTCATATATATACTTTGAGCACTTGTGCCTGTTTGTGTAGAGTAGGTCTAGGAATGAGCTTTAAGTGTATCAGACTTTACTCCACCATCCGTGTTCAATAGGTCTAGATGTTTCTGTCTTTTAAGCTTGACTAGCCTGTTTTGTAAAGTGGTTACTCATGGCAATTTTTATTTACTAAGCTGCCTTTTACTTACTGACTTATAGGTATTCTTTATAATTTCTATATTGAATATACTTTTTGTTTTGTTTTGTTTGTTTGTTTTTTGAGACAGGGTTTCTCTGTGTAGCCCTGGCTGTTCTGGAACTCACTCTAGACCAGGCTGGCCTCGAACTCAGAAATCTGCCTGCCTCTGTCTCCCAAGTGCTGGGATTAAAGGTGTGCGCCACCACTGCCTGGTGCCTTGCTCTTTCCTTTCTTTTTTTTTTTTTTAATGATTTATTTATTTATTATATATGAATACACTGTAGCTGTCTTCAGACACACCAGAAGAGGGCATCAGATCTCATTACATGGTTGTTAACCACATGGTTGTGAGCCACCATGTGGTTGCTGGGATTTGAACTCAGGACCTTTGGAAGTGCAGTCAGTGCTACTTAACCACTGAGCCATCTCTCCAGCCCTTGCTCTTTCTTTTTTACTCTTTTTTTTTTTTTT